AAGGAACACTAGCAAAAGCTGTATGCATTAAGAAAAAATGGCAACCATTTTGACAGTCCTGGGAAGGAAAGATGGATAAACTGTATCCTGTTACATGTTTCCACTTAAGTTTCACCTTGACTTCAAAAAAGCTATTTTCTTAGTACACCGCTGTTGGATTATATGTGAATGGGGAATACCTTCTGCTAGTGGCACTCAGACACGTATATTCAAATCCCCTTTTCCAATGACATTTGCTAGAGTTCAAGTTGCCTTATGAATCACCACATGAAATGACATGTTTTAGTGTATTCAAGTCGAATACTAATCACACAATGTAAAGAAGAATTTTTTAAAAAGAATAAAATTAAAATAAAACCTTTTGGAATTACAAAGAGACGTCTGAAGAGACAATGCAGATGGAGCTTGGGAGAGGTGCGCAAAATCAATCAGAGAAGCACACAGTCTGGAAAGGAAGTCAGGGAATCTCAAATCCAACCTCTGACATAAAGCATGTCCAACTGGAGCGGGTTGCTCAGGGCTTTCGCCAGTTGGGTTTGGATGCCTACAAGGACAGAGGTTCCTTACTGCAATAAGGCAGGGATAAAACCTGACTAGAGCTGCTGTTCATGTGACAAATAATGACCCAAGTGTTTCAGCAAAGCAATGGAAATGTGGCCCACAGATAAGGTAATCGTATTAACTCTGGCCATGGTGACCTGGCATTTCATTTGAAGTGCAGTAGGTCTGTTCCTTACTGCTCTGCCTGTATTCTATTATTGAGGAAACACAACAAAGCAAAACCCATAGCAGCTGAGAGGAAAAAAAAAAAAGGTGATATAGCTTGAATCACATTGATTGAGAATGTCAACGCAACATGTTGTTTTTACTCTTCAAAAAGGTTCTCCTCATTCCTGACCTACGTTTGTAAACATCAACCTTCCCCAGCCAGAACTTTACGTCTCCATGGTTCACAAGAAATTATGGATTGCATCAGTAATGCCCTAAACATGAACTTTTAAATATTGGCTTTTCAAATAACAACCAAAGGACCAGATGATGCCAAGTATAAATATTGACCTATGAACAATGACTTAGACTGTCTGCATGACACTTTGGTGTTTAATAGGAGCTAGTATCCAGCTGTCAGTTTTGATTATCTTACTTTTAATCCCTCATACCAAGATTACACATTGTGTACCCAGCCTTAGAAGTCAATTTCCTTTGTTTCTAACTCTGTAGTAGAAGACAGTTAAAGCAGGCCCTTCTTCTGAACTCAGTAAAAAAGCCCTTGAAACAGTGGGAGCCTCAGATACATGAAAGGTTTATAATTAGTCAACTTCTGAAAACTCTTGAAAAAGATGCCAGAAATAGAGTACCCCTCCAGATTTCAACATACCTTTCCCTTCCTAATTAAAGAAGGTATAAAGGCAGAACTGAGATCTAAAACACATTTCAGATATTTTAATCTGCTATGCAATCTCAGGAGTCATGTATCAATTACCTCTAGAAAAGTTGCTTGGAAACTAGAGCCTGTCTGGGTGAAATTAAAGGGAGTTTTATCCTTGGCTCGCAGATGATGCAGGAACACCCTGGGATCCCATGATTTCTATGCCCTATTATCCTGAGTTTCAGTAAGAGTTGTACTTCAAAGCCTTTTTGGTTTGAAAAATCAGAAACAGAGGTCTGAATGACAATGTTTCCCTCTTCTTTTTATTTCTATATTAAAAAATTAACTGGACATTCACTGTACCAAGATCCATTTCAGAAGTAATGCATGGTCTCATCTGGCAAGAGCCAGGTGAATGCAGCCAGCCTCTGCATTTACCAGTCCAGAACCCAAACCAGAACTCCCCAGCAGCATTCACCAGAAGAGGTGCAAACACATGAAGCATCATTTTGCATACAGTGAAAGGTCAGATTGTCACATCATGGGAGATGCAGGGCATTGTGCTTCTGAATACACATCCATAAACAATTGAAACGAATGAAGGGCTTTTTTTACATTTCCTCTTTTCACCTCTAGCCTTTCCCAAGGGTTATAATTTTATATATATCTATTTATCAATATGTATTTCATATTTGTTAGAATACTGTGGTATAAAGCCCTGGAAGGAAGAGTGAGGCAAGAGAACTGGTTAAGATTCAAGGGTCATCTATTCCAAGCTTAGGAATGATGCATCCTAATAAAGAGGAAGTCAGCAAAAGTGCCAGGAGGCCTGCATGGATAACAAGGAGCCTCTGAATAAACCAAAACACAGAAAGGAATCCTGCAGGGGGTGGAAGCAAAACCAGGTAACCTGGAAGGAATGCAGAGGGGTTGTCTGAGCCACTAGGCATCAGGTTACAAAAGGATCAGCCCTGAAAGAATTAAATTTAGAGAGGGACATCAAAGGAAACAAGGAAAGCTGTACATTAGTAGTAAAAGGAAGACTAGGGAAAACATGGGCTCTCTCCAGAAGGGATCAGGACACCTGGTTACGCAAGATATGGAGAAGGCTTTTATTCAATGACTTGTTTGATTCTGTCTTGACTTGCAAGTGCTCCAGCCACACTGCCCAAGTCACAGAATGAAAAGGCAAGAACTGAAGGAATGAGGAAAACTGTGGGAAAAGAACAGGTTTGAGACCATCCAAGGAACCTGAAGGTGACCAAGTCCATGGCATCCGATGAGATGCAGCTGTGGGTCCTGAAGGAACTGGTGGATGAAGTGGCTAAGCCACTTTCCATTGTATTTGAGAAGCCATGGTCGTCAGGTGAAGTTCCCAGTGACTGGAACCCCCACTTTTAAAAAGGGAGGAAAGGAATACTTGGTGAGCTACATGTTGGTTAGTCTCACCTTGGTGCCCAGCCAGAACATGGAGCAATCATACTGAAAATTATGTTAAATAAGAAAGTGATTTCTGCCAGCCAACATGGTTTCACCAAAGGCAAACCATGTCCGACATATTTGGTGGCCTATTGTGCTACAGAATTGGTGGATAAAGGAGCAGCAAGTGACATCATCTACCTGGACTTTTGGAAAGCACTTGACACTGTCTTGCATGACACCCTTGCTCCTAAAGTGAGCAGGCATGGGTTTGGCAGATGGACCACTCAGTGCATGAGTGGATGGGTTGGCTGATGATGACATGCAAAGAGCTGCCACCAATAGTTCGATGTCCAAGTGGAAATCAGTGAGAGGAGGTGTTCCTCAGGGGTTGATATAGGGACTGGCACTCTTCCCCGGCTTTGAGCTTTGTCAGCAACGTGGAATTGAGTACAGCCTCAGCAAGTTTGCCAATGTCACCAAGCTGTGTGGTGCAGGTGACACAATGGAGGGAAGGGATGCCAGAGGCCCCTTGGCAGGCTTGAGAGATGGACATGTGTGAATATCATAAATCTCAACAATGCCATATAAAAGGTCCTGCATATGGGTCTGGACAATCCCAAACACAAATACAGGCCGGGTGGAGAATGAACTGGCATCAGCCCTGGGGAGAAGGACTTGGATGTATTGATTGATGAGAAGCTCAACATGACCCAGCAATGAGTGTGCTGGCAGCCCAGAACCAGCTGTGTCCTGGGATTCATCCAAAGCAGCATGGCCAGCAGGCTGAGGAGGGGACACTGCCCCTCTGCTCTGCTCCAATGAGACCCCACCTGGAGTGCTGCATCCAGCTCTGAGGCACTCAACATAGGAAGTTAATGGATTTGTTTGAGTGATTGAGGAGGGGATACTGCCCCTCTGCTCTGCTCTAATGAGACCCCACCTGGAGTGCTGCACCCAGCTCTGAGGCACTCAACATAGGAAGTTAATGGATTTGTTTGAGTGAGTCCAGAAGAGGGTCATGAAAATGCTCAGAGGACTGGAGTACCTCTCTTACAGACAGGCTGAGAGAACTGGATTTGTCCAGCACGGAAAAGAGAAGGTTCAGGGAAGACCTTACAGCAGTCTTTCTGTACCTGAAGAAGGGCTACAAGAGAACTGGAGAGAGACTTTTTACAAGGGTGTATACTGACAGTACAAAAGGAAATTAAAATGGAAAGGGGGAAGGTTTAGATTAGATATGAGGAAGAATTTTTTTTACTGTGAGAGTAGTGAGGTAGTGGAAAAGGTTGCCCAGAGAAGTTCCTCGATGCCTCATCCCTGCAAGTATTCAAGGCCAGGCTGGAGGAGCCTCTGAGTGATCTGGTCTAGTGGAAGGTGTATGGCCCACAGCAGGGGGCTTGGAACTAGATGATCTTTAAGGACCCTTCCAACACAAACTGTTCTATGATCCTGTGATGAAATGCTGATCTCTAGCATTTCCTTTGTGCAGATGTGAGACAGGAAGAAAGACCCTTAACTGCAAGTTGTTGCTGATGTGAAGGAGTGGAGCAGAGACACCAAGCATCACTAAGAGCGGCACTTCAGTGTGTTCAGGAACTGGTGAAGCTTACCTGATTGCCCTGCATTTTCCTATGTGTGACCTCCTTTAGGTGTCCTTTATTTTCTATAGGAGAGCTTCAGAGCTACTTCAGAACCTCAGCCAAGGAATAAGAGCACTGCAAGTATTTGTTATAGGTAATGTATTTTACTGAACTTGTTATTCTGATAAAGCTTGTCTTAAGGGTAAAGCATTGCACATTTCCAGTGAAATATATAGAACTAACTTTGCAATTTCACTGAGGGTAGTTACACTGTGTGATCAACCTCGCTCTGGCTGCTTTGGGTGAGGAGTTTCAAAAACAAATCAAGTTCCCACTGAGGTACCTTAAATACAAATTAAAAAATGCATGGATTGACCTTTATGTCACTGAATGAAGCTTTATATTTTTAGCAGTTTTGGCAAACTAGATCAGGAAAGGAAGGTAGATATTTCAGATGACGTTCTTTAGCTAGGAAAAAATAATAAGACAAACTGAGTCAGATGTGAGATACCTATCCAACTCCATAAAAACAACATGCATCACAGCCCAGTGCATACGCCAAGCCTGAGTCATTTATCTAATGCAAATAGAATCAGCAAAAAATCCTGTTTTGTTAAACAAAATCTTACCTTTCTGCTATGGATTTCCTGGGGAAATAAAAATCCTCTCCTGCGAGGTAGGCAGCTGCAGTTCCACCTCCGAAATAGGTTTTTCTCAAGAGGGGAGCAATCCTGTTGTTTACCAATAATGCTCCTAAACCAGTTGGGAATCCAAAGATTTTATAGAATGAGATGGGGATAAAGTCAGCTTGGTGAACTCCCAGGTCTAATGGAGAACTGCTCACGTATGAGGCTGCATCTAGTAGAACAAACCATTTCCCTGGTAGTTTGATGGGGCAGAGTCTTCCAGATTTTATGTCCTGTATCCATGAAAGGGGATATTTGGTACCAGAAAAATTGCTCTGAGCTGGGTAAGAGAATAGATGAGGTGTTGTGCAGTTTTGTTCTTCAGCTGGTAACCTGCTTTTTGCCAACAAAATTTCCTTTGGTTTTATTGGAACAGACAAGACATTCATTGAAGCAGTTATGCCTCTCATACCAACCACAGATGTGTGGCTGTCAGTTAGGTAACAAAATCGACTGCTGGGCTGCTTTGTGCCTTCAGGTATCCAAGGGAATGATTCTGCTATCAGTTTAAGTGCAGCTGTGCATCCAGATGTGAAAATGATGGTGTAATCCTCAGCAGTAGTGTGAAAGTGTTGCAATATTCTGAAAAATGAAAAGAAAAATATCCACTTATTTTCTTATTTTTGTCTTTTATTGCTGTGTGATATATTTTGGCTTTCCTCACCATAAGTTCTACTCTGACATCAGATATGAACAGAAGTAGACAAGTTTTGCCAAACAGTACAATAAACTTCAACAAAGGTAACTGAATCATTCTGCCCACAAGAGACTCTTTTCAGTAGTGAAGTGAAGGTGCCTGTGTTTTTAAGAAGCCAATTTGCCTGGCTCCAAATAGAGTGGCCAGTCTGGTCCCTCAGTGGGATCAGAATCAAGCCTGCATATAATTAAAATTACACTGTTCTTCAGAGACACCAGTTTTATTTGCAAACTATGAGGGTTTTCAGTTTACAAAATATTTAGAGCAAACAGAATATGCTTCGGTTAAAATAATCTACTTAAATAGTGGGCATCCAAATTAAGGGTCACAGTATTCAACAGGGAAACCTTAGCAAACAGCTTTGCTCTTTGCTTATGTTATTAACAATAGAAACAGAAGGCAGCAAGAAGTAACCACACATTTCCATGGGCCTTATGCACATAAGGCTGTAATCTCTGTACTCCACAAAGGTAGCCCAAACCAGAAGAAATCTAGTTTTGTATGCTTTACAGTCATATAGGATAGATTTTGGGATCATCACACTGATATAAACAAAATTGCAAAAAGGTTGTGCAATTCCAAGAAAAATCAACAATAACAACAACAAAGTATCGAACTTGGTCTATTTTTACCTCTGTGAGCTATAGGACAAGTTACATATTCACATGTATGTGTACACACAGAATACATTTTGAGCAAAAGACTTGGTGATAGGAGCAAATTCTTAATATGTAACATCTTTTCATAAGAGTCAGCTAACAAAAGCAATGACAAAAAGCAAGCTTAAGGCTATTATCAAGTCTGCTCCTCCTTTACTCTCGATAATGTCTCTGATCTCCTCCCCACTTAGCCTCTTTGTGCCACACAGGTTCAAAGCAAGGTGAGACACACTGGGTAAAAAGTGAAATTTTGCATAAGAATAGCACCTGGAGTTCTCCATTGGAACTGCACTTGCTTACCACAGTACTTAATCTGACCAAAAGACTATAAATGACTATAGCTGGAATGCAACAATGGTAGAATGGGATTTAATAATGGGATGCCGTCATCCAACCATGAATATCAGAGCCAATGAGTACTTTTATAAAACATTTTCAGCATTCTACAAAACAATAAATACTATTTTGGATTGTTTAGGCTCACAAATAGTGACAGCTCTATGTTTAATTCATAAATGAGTGATACAAAGCTCATTGGTATTTTAACTATATTTAGTTTTAATTAATTCAAATTCAGAAATAGCAGAACAGTTTTGAAATAAAATCCCTGACACAACACTAATGTATTATCTATTCAGTTCAGTACAAAAAATTGACTTTCACATGAAAAAAATCAAGCTTTAGGGTTAATTTTTAGAAGTCTCCAAATAAATTAGATGCTTTTTTTAAAAGTTATATCAGTTCCTAGAGCTAGAGAAACAACCAACTTATATTTCTAATTTACTTAGATAGAAAATAGATTCTTTTGTGAGTCAAATTAGCTACCTATTGAATTTTGAGTCTTCAAATGCCTTATAAAATTGCTATTACTCCAGTACTTGCAAAAGAGAAGGAAATTTTCAGGTCAGACTTACATTTTGATTGAACCTTGAAAAGCAAAATAAATAAATAAAGCAATAGCAATGAGTTCAGGGAATTTTCTTCTCCAGAATGACTTCTGACATGCAGACCAGAAAAGCTGCAAGAACCTCAGAATAAGGTTTATAAAATGAATACCACAAACTCTTGAACTAGAACAGCAGTGCCATGATGAAATCCAAGTACTCAGGGATAGAAAACTGCAATACGTCTCAATGACTTCTGCAGCCCACAGTCCTACATCCTCTGTTTTGACAAGGATATTGGGAAGCACTGGCTATTACACACAAAATTCCTAATGCTGTCTGTCTTTGTGCAAGACATTCCCCATTACAGTGAAATGCAGTACACCTTTATTACACTCCAGAAAGATTTATAGCCATATATAAGGTCGCAGTTGGCAGCAGGACTAAAGACTTGCAGTGGAAAACTGATAACTTGATCTACTACAGCTGACAGCTGCAAAGAGCAGTAGCATTTTATAGTATTACAAATTCCCACTTTTCAAAGGACTCTTTGGAGGAAACGACTAAGAGGGTAATTGTTTCATGAAACCTGTGGACACCACTGTGCCATCACTTGTGAGATGGCAAAAAGGCTGAGCAACCAGTCCCTTGCTGCCAGGCTGGCAAGGTGAAAGAGGAAGCTACAAGCTCCATCTTTGCAGGATATTTAAGGCCCACCATGAGCAGCCACCTCTTCTACTTGTCCTCTCAACATCCCCAGGAACACTGATTGTGACATAGATCATGCAACCTGTCCAGAGAGAAGGCACTGAAAATGCCTTTAGCTTGACCACACTTCCCTGTGTGTGTCTGTATTCTGTTAGCTGGTGCTTAATAATTTTTAAAAGATGCCAGGAGACTTCTGCATTTTTACGACAACAGTTGAGCCAAAATACCTTTCCACTTCAAAGTAAACACTGGCAAAGAAAATAAATTTTCAACCCAACCAAGCCTGATGCCTCATTTTATATGCTTAATACACACAAAATTAGTAATGAGCTTTATACTTAAATATTTCTATAATCAAGGCATATATTCAGATGGAATAGTCATATTATCTAATCCAAAAGCCAAAACTAATAGTTTAATTAGAACTATCACTCCACAGTGCCACTGGCAGCTCTGCAGAAGGTAAAGGATCCTATTTGTTCAGCTACCTTAGGGACACAGTGACACCCAAAGTTAGAAAAGAGAGATGCTCTCCAAAGCTGCTGCCTGGCTGCCCTTCCCTCATGCAAGAAGCCCCACATTCCTCTTTGCCCTCAGCTCTTTGTAGCTCTCAGCAGATCAGTAGCAAACTAACTTATTCCCATATTACACCATTTCCATTACAGCCTCCCAAAATTCAGCTGACATGGCTTTTCTTCCATGTTGCTAGGCTTAAAATATTTTCAAAATATGTTTTACATCAGTGTTTCTCTATTCAAATCTACGTTTTGAAAACAACTGTAAAAAGCTGAAAAGCAACTTATATTGCTAGGTTTTCTTCCCTCCATACTTTAGCTCCAATTGATGCAAGCATTTCTACCTCTAGTTGGCAATATCAAATATGGTCACAGAGTTTGTGGTTTATATGCTTTATATTTATATTCACAATTTTATTTAGATTGCATGACTTTCCATAAATATGAGTACAATGATTCTCTAGTCTATAGGTGATCCATATTTAAAAACCCACATAAAAATTTACATATGGCAATTTTAACAGGAGATTCAGCCTTGAAGACAGAAGCATGGTTAACTATTCAAGTTTAGGTATCACTTCATAAAAAATTTTTCAGCTGCACATTTACATCTAATTTTTTTTTTTTTTACATTTAGCAATTTTTTCAGTGTCATGCTACTCAGATTCACAAATCCAGTTTGGACTTGTATTGAGAGATGCTTACCTTGGGCCTTAGAAATAGCATCACATTGTTTTCTGTTTCATGGAAACTCTGAAAAGAAGTAACATGCTATTTTTTAAACAATAGGTTTTGTAAGAATGAAATTTAAAAATTACATCAGGGTCAGAAAATATTTTAATTTTGTTTAATTTTGCTTAAATATAACTTTTCTTTTTAAATTTAAATTCTGTAACTGGCATTTTAATCCTTTCTGCACAGAAGTGCAAGTCAAAGTAGACAGTGTCTGATTCTACATTTCTGGGGAAGAGTGTTTTAATATTCCCCATTTATTAATCAAGAATCAGCTGTAGCTAGCAAAGCAATCAATGGAAAAACTGCCACCAACTTTAGTGGGAGCTCCTAAGGTCTTGCAAACTGCTGCGCCTGTTTCAGGGCAGGGCCCATCCCTGCCTTCAGGCTTAACTTCACATGCAGCAGCAGTTTGGTATGTATTTTCCTCTCTACATATACAGAAAAAGAAAGAAAAGAAAATGTGGCTGTCCTCATTCAAGCCAGCACAGAAGGGTACCACAGAAAATATTCCAGTTTACATAGGAATGTTCCAGTTTACAAATTAAAAAGACAGGCTTTCCAGGTAGGAAATATTTTGTATCTTATTTCATAAAGACACGGTCTAAATCCAGTATGCCACAGCACCAAGTTATATTCTTATTGTCAATTCTAAATTCAAATAAAAGCAAGCTAAATTTTTTAAATGTTTTAAAGAATCAAATATATTCAAGCAAGAAAAAATTTACCTAGTCTGTCTCCCTTCAGCAAAACATAACTTAATGGAAAAAAGCCTTTGTAAAGGTTTAGGTTTGGGTTTTTTTGTTTGGTTTGTTTCTTTGTTTATCTGTTCTTACAAGAGTGTTTACATCAGAAATCTATACCCTTATAATCTGCAACCTGGGAAGCTAATCCAGTGGAGAACCACCAAATTGAAGGATTTCCCAGCATGAGAAGGAGCAGTGGGATAAATAATCTTTTACAGTTCTATCTCAGAGTTTCCTCAGTCAGTTCCCTTTTCTGTTTCAGTTTCCTTTCTCATACTAACAGTGTACAAATTTAGATTTTTCAGAGTACATGCTAACTGTGAAATAGTTTCACACTGCCTTGTTTATCCTCAGTAGTTACATACACATAAACTTCTTTTCTGACTGTTTTACTTGAAAAGCACTCATTCTGAACCCAGCTTCATCTCATTAATGCTTGCAGAAGAATGATTAGGATCTAACCCATTGACATGACTGTTGTTTATTTGCTCCCTGGAGACAAAAAAAAAAATTAAATGGAATGCACCTTGTAAGTTCCACTTAGCATGGGCAGGTGATAGAAAAATCCCCCCCTTCTATTGGAAAGCATTACTTTCTGTAGGCATTCACACTCAGCCATCTGAATTGAAGCATTATAATCC